ATGATGATGACGACGAGATGACGACGACGATGATGATGTTTAAGACTATGTATAATATTAACATTAAATATTAACAATAAATAGATAACAATTGTTAACATGGAAGGTAATTAAAATTATAGGCTGCCTAATGGCCTAGCGGTAAAGAGCCTGACACTTTTGTAGCAGTGACCAGATTCGATCGCAAAGATATCTCCGCTTATAACATGGAATATACGTGTGTGTGTGTGTGTGATGCATTGTTTCACATGTGTTTATAGACGCGCACTGTGTGTTTGAAGTTGTTGAGAAGAAAAGAATTGCAATAAATACTACATAACATAAACAATAATAATAATTAATAATAATAATTAATAATAATTAATAATAATAATAGTCATAATAAACCTGCATGAACTGGGAATTAATCTCGTAGATGATATGCATGAGCCTCGGCAGTAGGGACTCCAACATTGAGACGGGCCATCTTGTTTGCATAAATTAACATAAAATTTGCATAAATTAACATAAAATTTGCATAAATTAACGGAAAACACTATTTTTATATGTGTTTATGCTGAGTAAGAATTAACATAAAAATTGCAGGTGCAAATTGATTTCAAACAACGAGAAATTTGATTTTATTTGAGTCAACTGCCTCTGCATTATCGTCACCATCGTCGTCGTCATCATCACCTCTCAAGGGCCTCAGGAAGGATCGTATGGTTGGTGTAAGCCAGGGTCAAAACCGTCGTCTTCCAGGCCTGAAGTGAAAGTGAAACTACAAAACTCGAAAGTGAAAGTGAAACTGCAAAACTCGAAAGTGAAAGTGAAACTGCAAAACTCGAAAGTGAAAGTGAAGGAAAAACACGAGGAAACAAATATTAAATAAATAAGTAAAAGAATAAGATGAGAGAACTGAAGAAATGAACCGATGAATGAATTGTGATGAAAAAAAATTATGAAACAAGGTAGAGGGAAATAAAAATTTTGAATCACTAAAATCAATCAGTTGGTCAGTTAATGTCAATCCAATCGGTCAGCCAGTGAATGAACGAACGAATGAACGAACGAACGAACGAATGAATCAGTGAATGAATGAACGAATGAATGAACAAATGAATGAATGAATGAATGAATGAATGAATGAATGAATGAATGAATGAATGAATGAATGAATGAATGAATGAATGAATGAATGAATGAATGAATGAATGAAAGAATGAATGAATGAATGCCATCTAACATCGTCCCATGATAGCTTCTCAACATCCACTAATATTCTCATCAACTCAGGCACAGCTAATGATGGATGCGTGTCATTCAACTGGATCGCTACCTGCGTAAATGAATGAAGGAATGAATGAATGAATGAATGAGTGAATGAATGAACGAACGAATAAATGACAAATAAATCGATGAATGAATGAATAAACTAACAAACGAATGAAATAAATAATGAGTCACTTAACTAATAGATAAATAATCTAAAATGTGCAGACAGTTTCAATGAAAAAAAACAATGAATGAAGGAATGAATGAGTGAGTGAATTAATGAACGAACGAATAAATGACAAATGGATTGATGAATGAATGAATAAACTAACAAACGAATGAAATAAATAATGAGTCACTTAATTAATAGATAAACAATCTAAAATGTGCAGACAGTTTTAATGAAAAAAAAAACAAGGAAAGATCGAATGGGTTGAACGAATGAATAATCTGAATCAACCGACTAGCCAGCAAGCCAGCCAGCTAGCCAGCAAGCCAGCCAGCCAGCAAACCAGCCAGCCAGCCAGCCAGCCAGCAAGCCAGCCAGCCAGCCAGCCAACCAACCAACTAACCTTTTCGTGCAACTTCAGCATGGCTCCTTTATTCCTTATATAGAATGTGGACTTCTTGAACCTACGGATGATGTCCTCGAGTGAGGCAGACACCAACAGGTACTCCTGCTTCAAACGCAACTCTTTACCTTGGAAGAACTGACGGATGGATTGATGGATGGATGGACAGATGAATGAACAGATGGATGGATGGATTGATGGAATGATGGATGGACAGATGGATAAATTGAGAGATGGATGAATGGATCGATTGATGGATGGCAGGATTGATAAGTGAATAAATAAATAAATAATTAGATAAATAAATGGACGGTTGAATGGCTATATGTACTGAATGAGTTTCGACATGCATGAATAAATTATGTTAATTAGTTATGCTAATCAGGCGGCCAACATTATCATTCGGGTAGAGCACTCTCGAGATGTTCTCGCATAAGTTACCCATCATCACTGCCTTGATGTAGTCGCCATTGTTGACTGGTGATGATGATTGTGATGATGGTGATGATTAGATGATGATAATGATGATTGTGATGGGGATGATGATAATGATGATTGTGATAATGATGATTATGATGGTGATGATAACTACTACTGCTGCTGCTATTACTACTACTACAAAAATAACTACTACTACCACCACCACCACTACTACTACTACTACTAGTACTACTACTACTAATACTACTACTACTACTAATACTACTACTACTACTACTAATAATAATAATAATATTAATAATACAAATAATAATAATAAATTATGATAATTTATAGGAATGCTAACAGAAAGAGAAGTTAAAGTTCTCAGGAGCCTTGGAGACCCACAGCCTCAGGGTATTCACGTGATCATTTTTATACCCTAATATGTGACGTCATCATTAATCATCATCATTCTCATCATCATCATCATTATCTTCCTCATCATCATCATTACCAACATCGTCATCATCATCATTACCATCACGCTCACCATCATCGTCATTCATTGTCCTCATTACCGTCACCATCATCATTATCGTCACCATCACTATCATCATCATCATCACCACCACCACCACCTGGAATGGGAACATCATTCGGTGTGGCAAGCACTGTTTCCTCTTGTTCCCATTTCGCAGCCTTGTTCTGGTAGTGCACCTAGATTGATGATGATGATGAGGATGGTAATGATGATCATATCGTAATTATAACATCATAATCATAACGCCGTCGTAATTAATACATGACCATCGTGCTGACGTCATCGTAACTACCTTCCCGCCAAATTTGACATGCAGTTGATACTCGGGCCTGGGTGTCAGCCAGGGGTTGCCGTATTTCAACCAATTGTCCGGCTCCTCAAACTTGAAGATGACGTACGAAATGACGTATGATTAATTAATTGATTGATTGGATAGTTAAATACTTAGTTAATTGGTCGATTAGTTAATTGATTGATTAGTTAATTGATTAATAAGTTGATTGATTAGGTAAATAAATAGTTAATTGATTAATTAGTTAATTGATTGATTAGTTAATTGATTGATTAGTTGATTTATTGAAAGTTAATTGATTGAAAAGTTTATTGATTGATTGAACGATTGAAAGATTCTATGAATGACGTCACTATCATCGCACGTTTTGTTTATCATAATTTTTATTATTATAAACAAAACCGTCATTATGTATAAGCATCATCATCATCGCTATCATCACCATCATCATCATCATCTCAACATCATCATCAAGACAAGCACAACAACCTGCCAGCCATCTTTAATGACTTGCTTGAATATGCCATACTCGTACCTCAGACCGTACCCATAGGCCGGGATGCCGAGAGAGGCCATAGAGTCCAAGAAGCAGGCCGCCAACCGCCCCAGCCCCCCGTTCCCTAACCCTGCCTCCACTTCCAAGTCTTCCAACTCCTCGAGCGATAGGCCAAGCTGATGATGATTTGTTAGTAACGACGATGACGACAATGGTAACAATGACAATAAATATGACCTCGACGATGACGTCAGTGATGACCGACCTCATAGAGAGCTTCTTCTGCCAATTTATTATTTCCCAGGCTGACGAGAGTGTTGGCAAGAGTTCTGCCCATGTAGAACTCCAGCGAAAGGTAGTAAACTCTCTAGACGGTTTGGTGGGTATGAAAATGTCTGTGTGTCTCTACATACGTGCGTGTCTGTGTGGTGGGTGTATCTGTGTGTGTTAGTACGTTTATGTGTGTGTACGTTGATGTTTTTATTTGTCTGTCTGTGTGCGTGTGTGTCTGTGGTGTGTTTGCCCATTTATGCCACGCGTTCTTGACAAAACATTCTTTGATAATTTGAAAAAAAAAATAAAATTCAACAACGGAAATAAATAATTGAATGAAACTTTCAACCGAGGCAAAAAAATACACAAAAAAATATAATAAACTTAATAATAATAATACTAATAATAATAATAGGAACAATCTTTCATCCAGCAATCAATCTTTTAATCAGCAATAAAAACAATGAAAATGACAGTACAAATAAAATAAAATAATGAAATAAAATAAAATGTCAAATGCAATTGATAGAGTATTAATCCGAGAAGCTCATCATTCGAATCGAGAGAGTACGACCTGAGTTAATTAGTTTTAAAATTGATAATAATAATAATAATGATAATAATAATTATAATAATAATATGATACTCATCATAATAACAACAAACAACAACGCACCTTAACGTCCATTTCGTAGTAATGATAATAATAATAATACGATACTCATCATAATAACAACAAACAACCACGCACCTTAACGTCCATCTCGTAGTAAAACTGTTGGGTGCGTACCCACCTGAGGGCTATGAGGTCCCTGACGCAGAGGCAAGTGGCCCTGCAGTAGTCGAAAAAATCGGCCACGTTTTTATCCTTCATTAGGGTGTAGTGCACGTGGCGGTTCAGCCCTGTCTTGAAGGTGTCCTTTGTTATCTTCAAGTTCGTGGGGTTTTTTATGGAGATTTTCCGGGAATCGGGTTTCTTCTTCCTCGGCTCGTTCGGGGATGACGTCATTGCCAAAGTCGGAGTTTTTTTTGAAGGTCACGGATGAATAATTATTAGGTTGTTATATGGATTAAATTTCTTAGTGTAGAAAATTATTCTCCCTCCGAGATTGTTTAGTGAGAAAATTTTTGCGTGTCTCTACAATGTGCTTGTATATACTTTTGGATAATTCATTGATTAATTAATTAATTAATTAATTGAATGATTAACTAACTAGATTATTAATTAATCATTTGGGTATATATATATATACCAAAATATCTGGCCCCGTACATTCCTAGTAACTAGCATGAAAGTGATAATTCATTGCCATTTCTGGATGTTTTGGTAACGCATGACGAACAAAAATTTACAACTGCCGTATACGTCAAAGCAACAGATAAAGGTATTTGTTTAAAAGAGTCATGTGAATGTACCCAACAATTCAAAATAAGTACAATAAAATTCTTTTTGAACCGTGCACATCCACGCATTTATCCTCAACTGAAAATCGCAATACGAAACTGACAAGAATTATTAATCTACTAGTAAGCAATGGTTACAAAACATCATTCATTGAGAGCATCATTCAACAAAGACTACAAAAAGATTGCAATATATTTAAAAACAACAACGACAACGACATAATCCTATATTATAGAAATCACATGTCAACGGCATATAAAATAGACGAAGTCGTCCTCAGACAAATCATAAAATGAAATGTTACACCAATCAATGATACTAATAAAATAAAACTCAGGATATACTACAATAATTGTAAGACATCACAATTGGTCTTAAAGAACAACTGCACTCCTGAAGACGATCCTACCTTGAAGCGTAATAATGTGACATAAATTTAAATGCTCTACTGAAGACTGTGCGCGTCAACAACATACGTATGTATATTAGCGTTACGACTACTTCACTATCAAGACGTCTCACAATGCATACACAAAGAGGAGCCATCAAATCTCATTTGCAATCAACACATGCAACTCCAATAACCCGCCAAACTCTTGACAACAACACAAAAATAATTTAAAACACTAACAAAATATATCTAAAAATTGCAGAAGCTGTCCTAAAAGATATCATTAAACCCCAAAGAAGCATCAACAAAGAATGATGACATCATTTCCAACTCGATGCCTTAATGCTAACTTCAATAACAACGAAGAACAAAAGAAAGACAACAACAAAGATGAAGAATACGACACCAGCTGATAAAATTAGCTAAAGAACTTTGCTCTGTTAAAAGAAACTATATTAGCCAAACCTGCACTGAAGATGATTTATGAAGAGTCGAAATAAGGCCTTATCGTGAATTCGGTTAGCAAAAATTTCATTAAATTTTCATGATGAACTTGGATAATTCTATTTTTAACGAATTGTACAATTTCCAGAAAATTCTAGTAAGGAAAATAGAAAAGACAAACTTTAATGCCAACAATTCGGTAGAATTCATACAATACTGTAAAAAAAATGGTCTCCTTCAAACACACACCCACCCACACACACACGCACACACACATACACACATGTATATAACTAAACTACTTTTTCTACTGCAACATATTAAGTGTTATTATTTTGGTGCTATCTCATGTTTCTGTATTAACTCAAGAGTCGTTCATTTCATTTCGTTTTATTTTTGTGTTATTTTTTTTTACTGAATTTCAATCTAAGGGTTTTCTCATTTTTGTTATAAATCTCGACATAATCAGAACTATATATATTATGTATGATATATTATTTTCCATTTTTTCATATACTCTGAACTGGTGGCCGATACAAGATTTTTAATCTTCCAGGTCAAATCCTTACTGGTTTGATGAATAAACGAAATGTGAATTGTGAAAAAACTATTTTATATATATATATATATATATATATATAACTCTTTATTTATGCTGATTATGCCATGATAAATTTTTTTTGATAGCGCTTTTGATATCCTTTGAATTAGCGCTTTATTAAATTTTTCATTAATAATAATAATAATATATATATATATACAAACCAATACAAATATATATTTATTATATTGGAATAAAGGAATTTTTTCATGAAATAAATAAACTGTTTTATTTAATATTTTCTAGAATGGCGGTTCTATTTTTTGAAAAAATTTAAAAAGACCAAAGTGATCTTTTTTTAAAATGTAAACAGCTTGTTTACAAACAAAGTGACGTAACCAAATGAAACAAAAGATAAGAAATAATGGTAAGGCGTTTAACAAACAGGATAAAGAACAACCAACCAATCATTCAATTAATCAATCATTTAATTATATCAACCAACATATCATTCAATTAATCAATCATTTAATTAATTAATTAAATATTAATTAATACTAATATTATTTTAATAAAAAAAAACATCAAAAAAATATCTTGGTTAGTTTTTTTAGCAGCAAATATATAAAAGGCGAAAATTGAAATATCAGATAAAATAAATTTTAAAATGGAATGCGCATATACAGATATACGGTGTGTTTATAACTATATAATAAATCATTATTTTTCACAAACACACACATACACACACACACTAGGGCTATTTTATAGAGTATTATTTAAATGAGTGAACGAGCAAATGAATAAATGAATTAATTAATTAATTAAGATGAATGAACAAATGAATGATCGATTAAGCGGTTGCTCAGTTAACCGAATGAAAATATGAATGAATGGACAAGAGAATGAACTAGTGGATGAATAAATAAATAAATTAATTAATCAATTAATCAATTAATGAATCAATTAATCAATTAATGAATCAACGAATCAATTAATGAAAATAACGATTAAACTATTCAATCAATCTATCAAAGACTGAATGAATGAAAAATAAGGAAATGAATGAATGAATGATTGAGAGTGGTTATAGAAAATATGCCGAGATAAATAACGTTTTTTGATTAATCTGCCATGAGTGAGCAATAACAAGGTATTGAATATTGAAAGAACAATTGGAAGAAGGAATGTAACGAATGAATGAATGAATGAATGAATGATGAATGAATGAATGATGAATGAATGAATGAACAAACGAATGAATGAATGAATGCGAAAGGAATGAAATAACTATGGCAACAGAAACAAACGATTGAATGATCGAAATGGATGGATGAATGAATGAATGAATGAATGAATGAACATACAAATGAACGAATGAGTGAATGAAGAAAACTTCAAATCTAAAAATAATTTCAATAAAACAAATCAACATTAATTAGATCTGACAGTAATGGAAGTATTAATAATATCTTTCAGTTTATTCCTGGTTGGAATGAAATAAAAATATGTTAAAAAAAACCAGCAGACAAATCAATGGCTAGCCAGGAAGACAACCAGACAAATAAACTAGCAGACACGCAAATAAATAAAGAGAAGTAGCGAGGCGAATGGATAATAAATCGACAGAAAGGAAGGTTAGTAAACAAACAGACAGACAGACAGACGCAGATAGACAGACAGACGCAGACAGACAAACAGAAAGACAAACGCAGATAGACGCAGACAAACAAACGGACGCAGACAGACAAACGCAAACAAACAGACAGACAGAAATATACATGAATCCATTTTCTAGGAATCTCAGGGCTTTCTAAACGTCATTACGATCGGTCGACTCTTCCTCTTGCCATCAAAGGATCTGCAAGGAAGGTGATAGTCCACAATCATTATCACCACATCATCATCATCATCATCACCACAATCGTTATCAACACCATCACTGCAATCGTCATCATCATCACTACCAACAGAGTGCTGAGTGAGAGATTGAAACCGGCTCCTCCACCATCATTCATCCACAACTTCCTCAGATCCAGGAAGCCATCGACGACCTTGAACTTTGACCTCCCAAAGTCATTGTTATTATTATTATTATTATTGGTGACGATGACTTCCACCACCATTCCGGGGAACATGGTGTTGATGTGAAGTTTGTCCCCCACCAATCTGATAGCGATGATGATGATAATGATGATGGTGGTGGTGGTGGTGATGATGATGAGGTCGATGATGATGGTGGCTATGATGGTGATGATTAAACAACGATGGTAAAGTAATAAAAATAAAACATAGATTTACAGAACCGAATAAACACATAACCCGTCGTTACAAAGAAACATACAGCGACCACACACACACACACACGCACACACACACACGTACACACACACACACGTACACACACACACACACCGTGCGCCAGGTTTGTGCAAGTAGTATTCAATCCCCATTTCTTCGAGTCTCCTGAGCTCTTGCCTGCCAATGATGTTTGAGAATAGTGACCAATCTTTCGACCTTTCGTGAGCTATGACTGAGGTTTGTATGTGTTTGTATGTTTTTTTGTATGTGTTTGTATGTATGTTTTTTTATGTGTTTGTATGTTTTTGCATGTTTTTGTATGTTTGTGTGTATGATTGTATGTTTATTCGTTTGTTCTGTTCACTTGTTTGTATGTTCCCACTCGCTCGCTCGCTCGCTCACTCACTAACTCACTCACACTGACTCACTCACTCACTCACTCACACACTCACTCACTCACCGATGCCATCATCTTCATCTTCCCATCTGGGCTGGTACCAGGATCTCTCGGCAAAGGCCAGGAGACGCGGGAACAGCATGGAGTGCATGCGGTGTTTTGTACGGATCAGTTCAGTCCACAAAGCTGCCTCCATTCCTAGACGATGAAGAAGAAGATGATGAAGAAGAAGAAGATGGTGATGGTGGTGATGAAGATGATGGTGGTGGTGGTGGTGATAAAGAAGATGATGGTGATGAAGAAAATGAAGATGATGATAAAGATGATGATGAAGATAATGAGGAGGAAGAAGATGATGATGAAGATGATGAGGAAGAAGAAGATGATGATGATGAAAAAGAAGATGATGAAGAAGATGACGAATATGTTATGTTACAGTTAAGAATGTCCTGGATACAAGAATCCTCAAAGATTGAACGCATGAAAGTGACAATGCAATGATGACGACGACAGAGGAAAATGATGGAAAATTAATTTAAACTATTCTCCACTCTCTTAATTAACCCCCCCCCAGAGGTACCAACAAATAACACACACACACAGCCTATGTAACTACTCTGTGAAATGAATCCAAACATATCACACACACACACACACACACACACACACA